ACCCACCACCACATACTCTTGATCTGTTCAATAACTCCTGAGACATTTAGAGGTTTGTCCAATATTACCTTAGCATAGAGATCACATTTCTGTTATAGGTTTTTGATCAGTAATCTTGGCTGATTCTCCATAGTTCCAGCTTCCAAACTCTCTAATACTTACTCCTCTGTTCAGTCCCAGGAAACATGCATACATAGATTCTGGTATTTGATCACTGCTCTCTTGTTGAGAGTTGATCACTCGCTCTCCGTGCAGGAAATGGAATCTACTCGTGCAAGTAGATTCCCACGTGAGAGCAATCCAAATCGGTTGAACGCAATTGGAAAGCATGTACTGATGTATAGAAGGTTATGGCTACGGAGATGGTCACTCCTAGCAGATCCTATGGTATCAGGGAACTGCTCCATGATCAGCATCTTTGTGCCACGGTAGTCGAAAAGGAACAAAAGCAGTGCATACCAGATGATACATTGCAACACGACGACCTGATCCATGAGACTGCCTGCCTCCGGATTATACATGGCTATCAAGAGAGGGATCCCCATAACCAAGGTGTTGGGCAGCGTGGAGAGAGAGAGAGAGAGAGAAGATTGTGATTAACCATTCAAGGCTTCTGTTCCTAGTAAAGTTAGCCCAGATGTCGAGAACGATGATCATAATTATCTTCTGCGATGTATCGGCGGCGATGAAATGGAAGTTCATCTTGTAAGGGTTGTTGGTAGAGATGAAGTAGAAGGAGAGAAGCGGAATGACGAATATAGCAACGAAGCGGTTGATGCCGGAGCACTGGTCCAACGAGAAAATCTTCCACCACCGAACTGAGCCATAGGCTGATAGGCCAAGATCATAGCCACGTAGAGAGGAACCATGGCGGCTAAGACCGTGTAGAGATCTCCCCATGAAATCATCTTTCGAAATCGTCGGAACCAATGAGAATAAAAAATGGGTAGTTAGGTTTAGATCCAATGAGGCTGAAAACCAACATTGTAGAGTAAAATTGAAGATAGGAATTAAGGGTGAAATGGGGAGAGAGGAGGAACCATTATTAACTAACTAGGTATAAGAGACCCCCGTTGTTGCTTCTTTTGTCATTCTAGTGATGGCTAGGATAAAGACTGCTTGAATCGAAGAGGAAGTACTAGACAGAGAGAGAGAGAGAGAGAGGTGTGATTTTACGAAGTGTAATTTTAGAGGGATATATATATATAGGAGGGAGAAGGAAGGGGGAAATGGGTTGAATGCAGATTGGAGTGGAGTGGAAAAGAGTGAACGCCTAATCTAGTTAAGTTAACCGGAGAAGATGGATAGGTTAGGGGGTTTATGAATTCAGGTGGCTCATGTTAGAAGAGGACATAGGATTGTATATGATGTGTACACACTCCCATGGAAAAACTTTGGCTGTTGAAGAAGTCGTCCCTCCTCCTAGGGAGACTACCGTCGTGCTCTTAAAATCAGGGCTTTCTTTTCCTACTTTGGTAATTTTCTGATCAAACAGAGAAAACATAATTTGAATGAAACGTTTTTTTCTTCAAAAATGATTTTGGGATGAATGTAATTTGACCTTGGAGAGACCCACCATAAATGTTTTCATGGATCAGACCGGATGGTTTAACGGTTGGATCTAGGGGTGAGCATGGGTTGATTTGGTTGGGTTTCAAGGCAAAACATTGAATCAATTCTCTAAGGTTGTGTTTGGTTTGAAGACAAATCCAATTACACTTAACGCGGGTGCCCACACCTCATGCCCGAATATAAACCCATCTATCTATTTATCTGACTATCTATCTATCTATCTACCTATCTACCTATCTATCTACATGGCATCACATTTTACTTGTGTGATATAAAATTGGGTGCAAGGTTTAAAGTATCAAAAATGTATTTGGACTTTGGATATGTATAGATAGAAAGAAAATTTAAGATACACATGAATACACCTTTGACTTATTAACATACAAATAATTTAGCATTTTCTATTATTTTTATTAAAATTATATTATCAAAATTTAAAATTTAAGTTATTATTTGAATTAACAACTATTGTTTTCAATATAATTGGGTTTATAATTTTGTCCTGATTAAATAATCGGTTCGAAATTAGTCCTACCTAGACCCAACACATAAACCAGATTAGGGCTTCACCACTATAGTTATTTATTATTCTTAAATAATATAGTTATAGTTATTTTATTTAACAAAAATAATATTCTAATTTATTAGAGTAGATTACATATAAATATCCTGTATTTTGGGGTAGTGACAGATAGATACCCTAAACTTTCAATTGCAACACTCCAATACCCTAAACTCTCAAAAACAATCTAATTTATTTGTCACTATTCCAATGTCATTTTTTCTTCCCTGCTAGTTTACATTATCAGATTCGGGGTTTTCAAATTCTTAATCCAAACTGTCCAATCCCTGTATTAAGCCATATAGCTTATGAGCTTGACCTTCATCTTTATCTATGGACCCAACTGCCTTGTTGGGTTGTTTTCCTTGTCCCGGCCGATATAAATGCTGCAAGCCACTATTTTCTTGGCTGCTTTTGGATCATAGGATATATTTTGAGAGGCAAAACATCTGTGAGGAAGATAATTATTTATAAAGAATTGTTTTATTAAATCTTTTAATGTTTGATTGCAATTTGAAACCAAACTTGAGATAATGAAATTGTGGGCTGGATTACTAGATTTCAGGTTTATATGGAGAAGAAAGACGTCTAAGAAATCAAAAGTTTTATTGGATGAGAGTGAATTAAGGAGACCATTATGTAGTAGAACTTTTACTTACAAGTAACGCCCATAATCTCATCCAGGATTCTATGTAATGACTTGTGCCTTGCCTAATATTTTGTTTCTCCCAGTATTAATGTTACTAGCAACCTAACGCTACTGGGAAATTACTATGCATTTTTTTCTAAAATAACTGTTTTGCAATTTTTTTTTGATAATTTTGGAGATAATTTTTTTTTCTATAAACCTCGTATAGGATCAGTTTGGAAAGAGTACAAATGCAAATTTGTAGAGTGAAAAACCTTATATTTTGTATGTATTTACACTATACATATTTATATTTATACTCCTTCCAAACTGAGTTTCAAGAGCGAGTCCGGATCTGCTAACCACAATACATTGTTGGTCACGCTCATCCAGTCACACATATGGAACATTAATTGTGTTGTGGCCGCCGATGTACCCAACATGTGACTGAATGAACACAACCAACAATGTGTTGTGATCAGCCAATCCAAACTCCTCAAGAGCAGCCCATGCTTCAGCCACCAATGGTTATGGTTCCACTTCTACTTGCAGCATGTTTTACTTTCAAACAAATACATGCATCCTCAATTCTCTCTCATTTACAGACTTATTTAATCTATATATTTGAATATATGTGGGCCAGAGGAGGCAAAGCAATTTCAATATTTGTAGTGATGCAAAAGTATGAGAGTGGAAATTTTGATTTTTTTTCCAACTATTGCTTTATTTTTATTTATTCTCAATGCAATGCAGATAAAGTAAAAATGTAAAATAGAACCTGAAGCAAAGTTAAAGTTAAAAGGAAGTAAAAAACACAATATTTCCATATTCTTTTAATAATTAATACAATGCTTTTTTGTCCATAATAGAAAATATTCATTTAGAAACAGCCTCCCGACTCTCCTCTGAAGTCATGGTTCCCACTCCACACTACGTCAGAGACTGACAAGGCAGCAAAGTATTCGTTGTTCAACTACTATGTCTATTTTCATCAACTACGAGCCTATGACCCACTTTTTGCACCAATCTCTCTCTCCTTTTCATCAACCCATGAATTTTGATAAATAATACCATGTTTCCTATTACGTTTATAATTCTGATTTATTAGTCGGTTGTTTTTTAGATATTATATAGTCGATCCCAATATTTTAAGACATTCCAATATGATGCCACAAAAGCTCCAATGGTTAGTAGTAGGGCTACTAATGGGTCAGGCTTATTCAATGGATTCAAATTAAACCAACCAAACTGATTTTAACTGTTTTGGTTTTAAGATTTTATCTTGATTAATAATTGGATCGGTTTGGATTTTTATCTGTTTCAAATTGATTTGGACATGGAATCAAGTATTTTATTAATATAAATATTTTCTTTCTTATCATATTTTATATTTGAAATGATAAATTTGATAGTTTAAAATGTTTAATTTATTAATATATAAATAATTTAATATTTTCTATCATTTTCATTAAGGTTATATTATCAAGACTTTAAAATTTAAGTAAACAAATACGATTAATTTTCAGTTAATCGGATCGAGTCTGAATCCAATAAACTTGACTATATTAATTGGGATGGTAGTTGCAAATGCAAATATATTCAATTGATAAAATACAAACTTGAATTGGTTTTGCGTAAATAAATTTTGCATTGTCTTTGGTTGTGGTGGGTACAAAATTTTAGCTTAATTTGTTTGATTACTGTACAAATAAAGTAAATTAAGACATAAAGCAGAATAAAGTAAAATTTAAAACAAAATTAAATAAGAATTTGCAATTTTTTACATTTGCACCTCATGCATTTGTATTAATGCAAATAAATTTGTACTGCAACCAAACACAACCTTAACATTGACCAACATTGAGTGCAAAGTCACTTTCATTTTCAGTACCAACCACCTTCCAAATTGATGAACTGGGATACAAATTAATTTGCTTCCATTCAGGGTTTGCACTCTTATCAAAATTGGGTAAACCACTTGGGCTCTACCCATTCATTTATCTGGTTTACCTCAACCCTCTCCTCTAAGTGCATTGTCAAAAGTGGATAAGAAAAGAGGAAAAGTAACAAAAGCTATACAGCCTACAACTTTTAGCTTGATAGAGAAGGCCGGCGGTTGAGAATTTTCATATTTCCCGACAAAAAACCGGCGAGTAGGAGCACCTCCCCTATCTACCTTCCTACCTATCTTTAGACTCAGACTACAACTTCTTCAGTCTGCTTCCTCCTCTCACTCTCCACCACAATCGTATTAATTACAACTTGCAGTCTTCAATTCTCTCTCCCAAATCCCAATTAACCCCTGGATATTCACCATCTTTCCTTCCCAAATCAACTCGCATTTAAGCAAACGTAGCTATATATCTATCCATGGGAAAGAACAGAAAGACCGTCCTCTATGCTCTGAGGTTCATAGCCTTTGCTGGCACACTTTCAGCGGTCATTGTCATGGTGACAAGTAAGGAGGAAAATTACTTTTACGGTGTAGAATTGGAAGCAAAGTACACCCATTCTCCCGCCTTAACGTAAGCTCCGTTTCCTTTGTCGGTGCAATTAATCTTCCTGTTTCTCTCTCCTTCCTTCTGCCGGTTACTGATCAGAGCTTTATGCAGATACTTTGTCATTGCGAATTCAATCGGAGCCGTTTACGGATTTCTGCTTCTCTTTCTTCCACCAGCCAGTATGCTCTGGCGTTTCGTGGTGGCCGTCGATGTGGTAATTTACAGTTTTTTTTTTTTTCTGTTTCTTGCTTTTCTTGTTAATTTTGTCTGCATTTGATGGATGCGAAATGAAGGTTACAGACAGGAATATTAATCTGGGTCTTTTCTTATATTCTAGGTCGTCGTACTGTTGCTGTCTTCCAGCTTCTCGGCAGCCATGGCGATAGCTTATGTGGGGAAGGAAGGGAACTATTACGCAGGTTGGCTACCGGTCTGCGACCAAATCTCCGACTTCTGTCACCATGTAACAGGAGCTCTGACTGCTGCCTTCGTTGCTCTTGTCATCTACACGGTGCTCCTCCTCCATTCCATCCACACTGTTCTGAATCCTCTTCTTGTGTGAAAGCTTGGATAAGCCCTCTGATGTTTTAATTTTCTGGTCCCGCATTTAGGAGTTGCTCTGTACTTTGTTATAATGTACGTACGACTGTTGTGAGAATTTACATTTATCAAAATCGTAACGACTTTTGCTGCGACGTGGCTAAACAATTGTTTGCTAACGCAATAGCCTCTGGACCCACAGTGAGAGGTTGGATGATTATCATTTATGAGTCTCATATCATATATTTTAGGGAAAATGACGGTTCAGTGCAGAATTCTGAATTCCACTGCATGTCAAATATCTCCACCCTATGTATCAATATTCGCTCGTCAATGGGTATTAATTCAGAACTGGCACCTATCTCAATTGTATCTTGGAATTATTGTCCTTATGCATCAATGCCCATTTATAAAGTCATTCTCCTTAAAATATAGGGAAATATATATTTTATGACTGATGTGAATTGTGAATTACAGATTTTTATTAGGTTTTTTGTGCGTATTGATTGGTTCCACGGACCTTTACATCCTCATTATTAGTTTCTTTTTGTTTTTATACAATGACCATTTTATTTATAAAAGTGTTATTGTTGAAGAGAAAATATTTTTCTATCATATATTAGCAAATTTTCGTATACACCCAAAGTGATTTATCCAAGGTGCGGCTTGAGAATCGTTATTTTCCGTGGGACCTATTGATATCTAAACATAAATGTGTTTTTTTTTTTTTTGTTTCCGTGGGATCCATCAACTTACCGAGATCAAATCGGCCCCCACAACGTCCCACAGCGCATCTCCTCCCTGTATTGGGAATATCTCCTGATGATATACTAAAAATGATGATATCATCATTGGGAGATGTTCCTAATACATGGCGGGGATGTACGGTGGGATGTTGTGGGGGGCAATCTTGTAGGAGGCTGATTTGAACCCACCCCACTTGCCCCCATTTACTGGAATCTAGATTCTAAAAAAATTAGCTTTTAAGACACCGCAATCCTCTCTCTCTTACTTTGCGTGAATCCATTGCTTCTTGTGTAAAATGCTTACAATTCCCGGCCCTAAAAACGGTGCTAGAAGCCTCGAACAACTAGGGCAGTGTTTGAAACCAATGCCATTTCTTGAAAGGCGTTTTTGGTGTTGCATAAGACATCTTGTTTTTTCATATAATGTTTTTTTTTTCAATTTTTTATTTGATACAATTGTTGTTAATGCTATATAGGCAGTTTTCAATGCCATGCAACTAGGGGTGTCAATTGGACTGGATTTGGTCCAATGTGAGTCCATTATAAATGGACCAGGTCCAATCTAGCCCAATGAATATTTTGGACCATTTTGGACCGGTCCAATTCAATGTCTCGACCATCCAATCTGTTCAAATTCGTTTTGATTTAGATTGATTTCAACCTAAATCTGGTCCATTGACACCTATATTCTTATCTTATATTAATAGATCAGATATTGGCTTAATCCAACTCAATCCAATATAAATTTATTACGAACCAGATTCAATCCAATATGTCTTGTTGGTCTGTCCAATTTGTCCAAATTGATTTTGGAGTGGACAGGGTCTAATCCAAAACCGGTTCATTGACACCCTTACATGCATCAATACAAAAATTAAAAAAAAAAGGTTTTTATACGTGGCACTGATGTGGCTCCGCACATCTAGAGAGCCGAATTATCTAACTGTCTAGCTTTCTTCGCAACTTCCTTAAGGCCGTCATCCCCTCTACCAACCTTGACCAGACGGGCTAATCTCCTCCCGTACTCATAAGCTAGTGCTATTTAATCAAAATTTACACCATGTAGTTAGAACCAATTAACAAAAAGCCAAAATACAAATGGGAATAACAGATTGCTAACAAATCAATTAGAATCAAGGTTTTTAAAACCGGATCGGACAATGAATCGGTTAGGGTCTAGTTCCCAGGTCGAATGGTCCGATCGTTCAAACTGAACGAACGGCTCATTCTAATAAAAAATTAAAAAATATAAAATGGCCAAAACCGCTGGATGGTTTGAATGATTCAACCACCCCGGTCAACAATGATTCAACGGTACCGATCACCTAACCGCTTCTCGGTTTTTCCAGTCCGATCATCCGGTCTGGTCCAGTCCAGTTTTGAAAACCATGATCAGGATTATTGGCATGAACCTCGCCAATGCCCGAAGAAGCATCAGTGATAATAACTACTTTTCAAGTCAAATCGTCGCTAGGGATGGATCTTAGGAGCTATAAAATTAAATAACTTGTGGATCAGCTCCTATACAAGTTTTGTAAAGGTTTCCCTACCTTTCCCTTCATTTCTCTATTTTTTCATTCAAATCAAACACAGCCTTAAAGGTGCTCATGTTTTAGAATTGGGTATATTTCAAAAACCTCCTCTGAAGTTTTTGGTTGTTGCTGAAATTTCTTTTAAAAGTTGGGTAATTGTAATTAACTCCCCTGAACTTTCTGATATAGTTGCAAGTTGACCCCTTTTGTGAGAAACCTCTAAAAAGGGACATGAAATGTCCAAAATACTCATATATTTTACTTTGACTATAATGTTTATTTTCCAAATTTTCTCTACATATGAATTGCTACCCCAAACCCTTCCAACCTCTTTTCTGAAAATTGATTTATTTTTCAAATTCGACCTTCATATCAATTGCTCAAAGGTAAAGCTACAAGTTTAAGGCTGTGTTTGGTTTGAAGTAGGGAAAGGTAGGGAAACCTTTACCCTTCATTTCCCTACTTGTTCCTTCAAACCAAACACAGCCTAAATTCTCTCTCTCTCTCTCTCTCTTTGTTTTTATAAAGTTTGTATTGTTTTTTTTTCTGTAAAAACTAACCTCAATAGTAACTGTATGGGTATTTTGGACATTTTATGCTTCTTTTTTAGAGGATTCTAACAAAGGGGGTATACTTTCAAGTTGCAACTGTATCAGAAAGTTCTGGGGAGATGATTGTAATTGCCAAACTTTATGGAAGGTTTTAGCAACGGTTCAAAACTTTAAGGGAGGTTTTAGCAATTTACCCTTTAGAATTTCATCATTTGGATTTCACATTTTCAACTCCATATCAGGCTGTCAATAATTAGGCCTGTCAATGATACCTAAATTCCACCACCTTATCCAACATCCAATTCCATTAAAATTCGAATTTGATTTTCTCTTTCAACCTAACAATTTTTCCTCTTGCAAGCAAACAATGGAACATAAACATAAAATTTTTTCACCTGTTTTCCTTTTCAAATTTGAATCAAACGTTTTCTAATCCAACCAGATTCGAATGCACAAGTTTTCAATAATCGGATCAGATTTAGATTTTTTTTTAATCTTATCCAAATCCAAATCCAATTATTGGATTAGAACCATACTGTCAATAAACTATTAAGAGGCATGTTGTCCTTTAAGTAGATGCTAGTAGGAATAATGTATAGACTTTTGGAGCCCTATTTTTCTGCTGAACTAATAACTTTTAATTTTTCTAGGTTATGAGAATTTCAAGCAAGAATAAAAATGCTCTTGGAGAGGAAGAAAAAGGAAGAGGTGGAGAGAGAGAGAATGCAGTGGAAGTTGCAGTAATGGCCATATTTCTAAAACGGGTAAAATATAAAAACTTCCTCTGTTTCTATCAATCATAAAAATCTCTCCCAAGGTTGGATATTAACAAAAACCTTTCCTATAATTTTGAAAAATCTTGCAATTATCTTCCTTTCATCATTGTCTCAATTAGAAAATGTTGGTCTAATGCATTTTTTTTAAATACTTATTTTATCCTTATATCTATCAATCAGATGAAAATTTACTAAAATACTCCTAAAAAACTAAAAATACTCCCAAACTCAGATTAAAAAGAGTAAAGTAATTTCATTTTGTAAACTCATTGTAATTGAGTCAAACCTAAAAGGGCAGATCTTGCCTTGATTATATTGAAAGATGGCCTAACTAGTAGTAAGGGCAATTTTGGCAATTTAATGAACTGAGAAAATAGTAGAAGGGGGGTAACTGTTGGTTTTTTCAAAACTACAGCGAAGGTTTTATTAAAATGAAACCTTAGAAGGGGAGTTTTTTTTTTATAATTGTCAGAAATGTTAAGAGAGGTCTTTATATTCTACCCTTCTTAAATAAAACTGTTGGTTGGTCCACGAGGACCACGACGTGTTGATCCAAATCGTCGAATGACTCGAATCTTCCATCCGTTTGACCCGAATAATGGTTTTTGGACCAAGTCAATAATAGAGGCATTTTTCAGTTTTTTGTACTTCCTGTATCTCCGCAATTTTAACTTTTTATTTTTTAAGCATTTCAGAATCATTATCAGGATCTTCTTCAGACGATTCCAATTGCCCAAATTAATGGCTACCAATTCTTTATTCTTTAATCGGGCTTAGCCTGAGCATCACCACTCATCTCTCCCATCAAAATATCAAAATCCGACGGTCTTGATTGTTGATCACCCACCATTGTCTGGTTCACATCCTAGATATTTCTCATAGATGCTGGTTCCGTAGATAGGATTAGGAATTGGGAAACTTGGAGCTAGAAGCCTGGAACTAGTTCCGCTGTCAGATATGGGTGGGAGCGCGTTTCTTATCGCGAACTCCTCCTTCGGATCGTATCTCGTCGGGGATGGTCGTCTTCGCAGTCTCCCGCGGCGAAGATTGAGCACCTTTCGAGTTCGGTCTTCATCTTCTGCTCCACACGTCTCTTTAACTGCTGGTGATTTTCAGTATCTCTTCCTTTCATGTCTTCTTACTTCTTTTGGACATGATCGACTTTATGTGTTCATTGATTCCAGAATTGAAATTAGCCATGAAATGGAATGTCTAACCTATTAATTGAAAAAGAAAATAGAGAACTTATCTGTATATGGAATCGGGAATTCAAACTACCCACAAAGCAGTCACCAATCCATTAAAGAAAAAAGTGAGTAATTTGAAAGACTAGAATATTAGAGTGTGTTTGAATAAATGGCGTGCTTGAATGGTTATTTGAGATAGACCCAGTTGAGAGTTCTCAACTAGAAATGTTAAATGGGCTCTGTACCTCAATAATCGTTGAGAACAAAGCGGTCTTGCTATCTAAAGCTACACATAACACATCTTTTGCAGTATAGCTAAATTGTATCCTAGTTTTGATTTCGTAGAGAATGACTTGAGAACCAAATTGGCCTTTCTTTTGGTGTATTTTATTGGAAACTTTTAGATATTGTAGCTGAAAATTAAGTATTCAATTATTATTTATAAAAAAAGTTAATTTTGCAATTAGCAGCTTGGATATGTAATAGAAAAGGCATAATTGGTCTTACAGATTTTCAGCTCTTGAAGTTAATTAAATTAATGGTTATTTTTATTTGCTCGTTTAATTCCAAAAAAGTGGCTATTATAAAGTATTTATTTATGTGCTCAATTGAGCTTAAATGTAGCACATCAATGTCCCAGTCAATTCTTAAGTAACATTGTTTCAATTTCACCGTACCATATAACAAAATTCTTCAGTTTAACTTTTTCAATCTAACTTAGAGATCCGAGCATTTCTATATAGATGCAACAGGAACTGTTGTCCCATGTGGATTGCAATAACAACAATTGGAATTGGGAAGCATGGACTGAAGGAACAGATCAGAAACTGTAGGAAGAACTTAAATTTGGATATTCATTATTGAAGGGCATCTCTATACATTTTCTTGTGCCTTCTGTTTCGTCTGTAAACTTCATCTTCTTTCCTAATGTTTCATTATCTAGAACTGTAGACAATTATTTTCCATCTTTGTCTTGATAAAGAAAAAAAAAAAAAACTAGTCAGGTGTTACTGAACCTTGGATCTGAAATTGTTTTAATTATGTACATGTAACAGAAACACTTGATAAAGATGGTTCTGTGACTGGTGGTGCATATGATTTCAAACAAGCAACAAGGTCACTTATCCATGAATTGATGTCTTCACCAAAGAAGGTGACCCTTGTAAGGCATGGTCTTAGCACTTGGAATGAAGAAAGCAGGGTTCAGGTTTGTAGCTTTTTAATATTTTCTAGATATTGAACCAAAGAAAATATATTGTGGCAGATAACATAATCTGAGGCCTGAGATTATTATTGTTCTAGAGTTTGCAGTCCTCTGCATTTTTTTTCTTTTTATTAACGACAGATTATAGAATAATTATTTATGTAATATAATAGTAGAAATAACCCATTGCATCAAAGAAATAGGTGGGGGCAATGTAACTGTAGAAAACCTTCCTAGACCTTTGGTTTTTATTAATTGTTTGGATTTCTGGGGACGTCCTATCAAAAAAAAAAAAAAAAGAGAGGATGGGGCGATACAAAACAGCACCCAGCACTGGCAACCATATAGAATAAAAATTTTACAACAAAAAAACTGACTAGCATAATTAGCCCAAATTCAAAACCTCCTGAAAGAGAAATTCTCTATCTACTCCTTGAGTAAGGTCATCATGGCATTAGCAGATCTTTAAATTCAGTTGAAAAAGCTATTCTTTTTGTGAGCCAAATTACTAATTAGAAAAAATCCTGCAACCCATTTACATTGCCTCTCTAATGATATGTCTATACATCCAAGGTTCATCCTAGCTGAAGGCATCCAGCCAATTCTGCTATTTTTGCATTCTCTTCACCTATAGGTCTTGAATACCTTTAAAATGATATCCCCATTTGTTCTTTCTATAGTCCCCACCGACACCAGAAATGCCCAAATTGCCTATAATGCAGCTATCTGAGTTATATCCTTTTCTGTTGTTCAATAGATAAAATTAGAGCTTTCCTTTTGTTCCCTTCCTCAGATTTTACTATCCTCAGAGTTCTTCTTGTTCCCTTCACCTATAGGTCCTCTGCACTTTCTATCATTTTCTGTCAATGCCAGCTAGTTTTTCTCAACTTAAAATGTTTAATAGATGAATTAGAAACATATTTTAATTTTCTTTTGTTTCCTTCACAGATGGCAAAAGTCTTTTGAGGTGAACACTATCTTGATAGGAAGCTAAATCTAGAAATTAGATGACTAGGAATACAATTTTTTTTTTTTTTATTTAGAAAAGATTGGTCATTGTCAATCTCAAACATGGTACCTCAAGGACTTCACAAATGCCATGTTCTCATTGTATTTAGGTTCTTTTAAAAATATATTTTTTGTTCCTTGTATGGAAGAACAGGGGATTCAATTTATATGTGGATGTCATTTTGCATGTAATATGCCCCTATAGAAATGAAAGATGTGTTAAGCTGGTGCTTTTGATGATATCCAATTTTTTCTACCTAGTTTCTTTAATGCAACCATATATTGCAACAAAAGTGTGTTCCTTTTTGGGACAATAAGTTTTAGTATACAGGGTAAAGTAGATGGAAAACTGTTAACTTACACTAACACAGGATTTGGACATAAGCTTCCTGTCATTTAGGTTTAAGATTGCATTTGAATCCCTGGTTTCAAATTATGAACATTAAGATTTTAACAGCAGTGACATTTATACAAGCCATCCTTAAGTTGTTAGATTAACACATAAAAGTGTGAAAAAAAGGAGATAAAAGTAATTAATTATTGCAATACTACAACTTCTTTCCAACAAATGGGAATGCAATAAAGACCATTTATGTTAGAAATGAACTAACTTACCAATTAACATTTCTTATATCAAAGCATCACAGATGGCAATTGAAAAGCTGCTTAGTTTAAAATCAGGGAACTACTTTCTATTTATTTTAGAAACTTTTCCTCTGTTCTTCCAAAAGATGAAGTTTTAAGGATATATATTCAGGACCTCTTATCCTCAAGTTTGTTTTCATACTTGGCCTGTTGAATGGCTACATCTTTATTACAACTTTCATAACGGTTAGTTTAGTTGTTACTTTTCCCTTCAGGGAAGCTCGGACTTGTCCATATTAACAGAAATTGGAGCCAGACAAGCAGAGAAATGCAGGAGAGCCTTAGCCGATATATGCTTTGACCAGTGTTTCTCTAGTCCTATTTCTCGTGCAAAGGTTTGGATAATTCAATTAAATAAATATTAAAGAAAACTTCATGTAAGGTTTTGCTTTGGTGGTTGATTTTAGTTTGGTATTTAATGCAGACCACTGCTGAACTTATGTGGCAAGGGAGGGAAGAGCCACTGGTTTTCCTTGACTCACTTAAAGAGGCTCACCTTTTCTATCTAGAGGGGATGAGAAATGGTCTGTGTTTCTGTTGCATTAAACTTGATCATCATCCTTTTTCTTTTTAATTATATATGCACTACCCCTCTTAATCACATTCAGAATTTGGAGGCAGTGGATGCTAGGAAGAGATATCCAAAGGAATATACAACATGGAGGGAAGATCCTGCTAATTTTTGTGTGAATGGTGTCTACCCTATCCAAGAACTATGGGGAAGGGCACAACATGCATGGAGGGAAATATTGTTTACACCTGTAAGTTCTTTCCATGATTTGTTTTCTTCCACATATAAAAAAGATGTGTTTTTCTCCCCTTTTTTATCTAAAGCATTATAATTTTTGCTGATCTTGTTTACTCGCTCTTTTTTCAGGGAGAAAGTTTTTTGGTTGTCACACACAAGTCAATGTTGAGAGCACTAATATGCACAGCCCTTGGACTTGAGCCAGAGAGGTGATTTTATGCATGGTTTAAAGTTTAAATAGTGGCTGGTATATCCATTGCAGTATGTCTGTGAATAATGACTGTTATTTCATTATAACAACCATTATCCCACCAATTTAGGAGCATTATGAGTTTTCAATTTATTTTAATAACTATATTAGCCAAGCCATAATATGGTATTTTTTATTGTAGCTGTGTCAAGTTTTATTGATTAAGAAGTAAAATTATGTACAGTATATTGTTCAATCAGATTGTCCTGACTGAACTAACCGGCCCCTGTTCTTTACATTATTAAGTTACACTTCCCCAAAAAAGGCTTGTTCTACTAGCCCCTTGTTTTGCCATTGAGTTGGCAAAGTTGTTTGCAGATCTCTGAATCCAAGTAAAGGTGATCTCCATTCCCAAGGATTAAATGCTGAAATTTCCTTCATCCCATTCCTATAAGCCCATTCTGGTTGCTTATTTCCTCTTAACCAGTCCTTGAATCACCTTCTACAATAGATTCCTATAATCCAGTTGCTTTCCCAGAGTTAAACCTTGTAGAACTGCAAGCAATTCTGCTCTAGTAGAGTTGACCACTCCTATTGGCCCTGAAAACACTCTTAAGTATTACTCCATAATGTTTTAAAGCGTGGAGGCGTGACATGAGGCATTCCACTACTTAGAGGTGTGAGGCGTAGTTCAGAACGCAAGAGGTGTAAGCCTCCCAAACACAAGGAAGCTTACGCCTCCTTAAGAGGAGGGGGTTAGGAGGAGGATGAAGAGAAAGGGGGATCTCATTTTTTCTTTATTTTTAATAAAATCTTTTATATTAAGAAGAATAAAGATGCATAACATTAGTTGAAAGGGGGGGTCTTGTTGAAGCGGAGGTGAGCGAGCTCGCCGAAGCAGAGTGCCTTGCCTGGAGGCGCGCCTCTGGCATATGCCTCAGGGCGTTTTGGGAGTGCCTCGCCTGGAGGTGCGCCTCCATGTGACGGTTCAGCACAGGCTTAGCCTTGCCTACGCTTGGCAGGCTTACGTTAGGGACATTCCCGTCATTTTCGCCTGTAAGATTTTTGGGAGAACTGATGTCATCTTTAGGCAGACCACCAAAAGCTTAACGTACTCTTTGAGGAGGGATGATCGACCTCCTTGGGTGCCTAACCTTGGCACTCCTAGACCTTCATGCCCTTGCGGGGCGGCCCTGGTTAACGACTAGCATGGCTACCAAGGTTCCTCATGGGCGCACACTTGCTCATGGGGACAGTGTTGGACCGRCACTRYGCTRCYRATACTCAAGGGAGGCTTGGCATGCGGGCCTGGCTCAAGCATGTCCCTTCACCTCGCCAGCCCCTTGCCCAA